GATAAAGATATTGAACAAGACTGGCCCCAAAACTGAGCCCTGGGGAACACCGCTTGTGACCGGCCGCCAACTGGATTGAACTCCATTCACCACAGCTCTCTGGGCCCGGCCGTCCAGCCAGTTTTTGACCCAGCGCAGAGTACACCTGTCTAAGCCGTGAGCCGCCAGCTTCTCCAGGAGAATGCTGTGGGAGACGGTGTCAAAGGCTTTCCTGAAGTCCAGGTAGACCACCTCCACAGCCTTTCCCTCCTCCACTGGGGTGGATGAGGGTCACCTGGTCATAGAAGGAGATCAGGTTGGTCAAGCAGGACCTGCCTTTCATGAACCCATGCTGGCTAGGCCTGATCCCCTGGTTGTCCCACTCATGCCTTGTGAGTGCCCTCAAGATGAACCGCTCCATCATCTTCCCCGGCACCGAGGTCAGGCTGGCAGGCCTGTAATTCCCCAATTGCAATCCAAGTTTAATAATATCTTTTTAAAAAGGGGGCATCTTAGCATCAAAAAGAAACAAAAGAGCAAAACCTTTCCAGTGAGGAATCTGGATCTTCTTTAGTGAAATTCACTGCAATGCCATAGTACAACTATAGTCTTTGTAAAAGCTGCTAATTAAACAGCTCTAATGCAGCAGAGTGATTATGATTCTGCCACATGGTGACTATGAACCATGGATCATACTGTGAATCCCATGGTACCTTGTGATCCATGGTTAGGCTCTATGATCGGTCTTTATTCAACAAAGAGTTTGATGGTAAAAAGAAAAATAGGGAAAATTTTTCTGTGATTGGGCAGTTCTAGCATGCACAAATCTCTGTATTACAGGTGTGATGTTGTAATTGTTTCTTATAATCTCTCTTCTGGAAGTGAATTTATCTATATCCTTTCAGTGGGCCTATAGATATGTTCCAGACACCAAATATCCTTATGCTTAAGCATTACTGTGACTAGTTAAATACATATACTTAAAATATAAATGCAGATATAGACTTTCCTGTCCTGTAGCCTATTTTTTTTGGCTTTGTGTTGGTTATGCACATGGGAACTTCATTCTGGTACAGAAATACTTTGCAGCCAGGACCAAAGTACATTTTCCATTTACTGCAGTGTTCTGAGTGTGTCACACTGCTTCTGTCTTGACAGATTTTTATTCCATCCAGTTTCACTGTTCTTTCTAAAAAAATACTTATAGTTCCTAATTAAATATCGTTTGGGCTGATCCTTGACTGATATGCGTTTAGTGCTCTTGAAGTCATCAGAACAATAAATCAACCATGGCTCTGAGCAAGCCTGCCTTTGTATGTATACATATATTTGTAACAAGCAATTGCAGAATTAAGGTGCTCAGTGCTTATTTGTATTCTATCTTAGAACAGAAATAAATTAGATCATGCAAAGTTTTCTCCTACTGATGACTTATAGAGACGTTAGTCACTGAATTCAGTAAGAGTTTTTCTCCTACTTTTAGTAGCTGAGGATCTGCCCCAGACTATGTTCACCTTGGAGAGTTATAAAATACAAGCAATACAAGTCTTGCAAAGACTCAAAAAACATATAAGCTTGGGAACTCTGAAAATTAAGTGATGGAATTTTGTTAGTGCTCAGCAATGTCTTAATTTTACTTATGTTCCATCTATATCTGTCAGTGAGTAGCACATCTGAACACCTAGAGTTCATAACATTGATCCTCCATCAATCCTTGATGGGATTGAATTCTGAGTCACCTCTGAATCAAGGCTTTCAAATTCAATTTGGGTCTTTCCTAGCTTACAAAAAGAAGTTTTGACTAATCTGTATCATTCCTGGATGAAGAGCAATGCCTTGTTCCTTTCCTTCTTAAGAACAGAGAAGTGTAACTAATATGGAGAAGCTTATCCTGGATGCATGTGAGCCAGCAATTTCTCAGGGTCAAATATTCTTACTGAGCTTTTCAAAATAAAAATTAAAAAAAGTCAAAACTGAAGCCTATTTCACTGAAGCTAATGTTCTGTGCTCAGAACAACCTGGAATCAGGCCATGAGGTTCACAGAGGTTGCAGTGACTGTGCAGTCTTCTTTGGTGAAGATACACATACATAGGTTTTCAATTTCTCATTAACATTAATTGATTCTTCTTTGTTACAAAATTTCATTTACCAAGATTTATGAGCCAGCTTTCCTCTCTGGATAGCTATACATTTCTGTCCTATTGTTGTGGGTGACGATCTGTTTAAACATATGCATGTCTTTGTGGACTATCAGCTGGACTGTGGTAATGTGATCTGCTTGAATATGAAACCTTCAGCATTTAAGAAATATAAGCCAGCACAGAATATTGGGGAGATTTGGTCTATCAACCCAGGTAACAATAAGCATGTTCATTTTATCTTCTTCCTTACACAGTAGCTTCCTGTGGAACACTGATTAAAGCAAATGCACAGTTTCAGCCTTTATCTTAAAGGCTCCATAGCCTGGGGCAAGGGTTAAAGACCTACAAGGACAAGACCAAAAAGGGCTTGTAGGTCTGACTTGAAGACTGTGATTGACCACTTCACCTCTGGGATCCACTGAAGCTCTCCAAGATGGTTACAAAGCCCGTTGTATGGTAACAGAATGCTCATAGAGATGGGTACAGGTTCAGAATGAAACTCTGCAGAAGGCAAAGATGCCTGCAAGTTTCATTACCGTCCTTCCCAAAGGCAAAGTGTGTTTGACCTAGCCTTTGTCTGAATGATTCTCAGAATATGCATTTATAAAAATGTTCTGGAACATCTTCTCCCAAATTAGGGAAAAAGCACTCTGTCTTAGGCTGGTACAGATTGTATGCTTTTTTCTCAGTGAAGAGGGTGTGAGACAAAACAGTGTGATAAATGGCGGCTGCATGTTTTGTAATGTTAATAGATAATGGTGTTACTACTAGAAGCACTTTACTGTGGTAGTAAGCTGAATCTGAGAAGAGAAGAGAATTCCCTTTACAGTTTTACCATTTACTTCAAGAAAGCAGAGTCAGGTCAACACTGAGCACATAGGAAAACTCATCCTTAAGCTATTTATGTATGTGCTGTGAAGAGGTGACTGCTGTGGACAAGACAACTGCCAATTAGCTGTACAGCCTTAACCTGCTGCATAGGGATTTTTTTTTTTCTGATTATATTGATCAATTTTAATGGTGGATTATTATAATAGCTAATCAAAGATACGTCCCCCTCCTTTTTTTCCTGTTTGTTTGGGTTTTTTTCCTATTTTCTCAGAAGTTTTCAAATGAACTGGAGTCAGAAAATAACTTCTAGGAGTCAGAGGGAATGATGGTTTTATGGATATAGGGTATAGACATGTTATACTGACATGCAGAGGAGTTAACTTATTCTGTGTGGATGAAGACAAACTGTGTTAGGAAGACACAGTATCGCATCAAGGTACAGTGCAGGATAAAATATTCCTCAGTGCCTTCACAGAAGCCTGAGCCTCTGAGCCAGACTTCCTTTCTAAGATGGGGCTAAGGAGCCAAGATAGCTTTGTCTATATAACTGAAGCAGCTTCTGTAAGAACAAAGGTTAATTTCAAATGCAGAACTTTTTTGAAGTTACATAGCATCAATGAGATTACACTTCGGAACCACTCATCCACAAAAGACAGAGGATTAGATAAGATGTCAAGGGAAGTTACTGGAAAGTGAACATGGCAGTAAAT